TAGCTCGTGTGTTTGTAATTGCGTTGTTGCATAAACCTAATTACCGAAGTCTGGAGGAAAATTTACTCTTTCCGTAAGATGTTTTAGGAAACAAGAGACGTGTATATTCATATTCTCGAAAATAATAATTTCGTATACAAACTATGTGGCTACTATATGTAACTATGTATTTTCGATTACAATTTTTTTCTTCAATTCCTTCCTTATTTTGCCAGTCAGGGTAATGGTATATGGTACACGAGTATATAAAATTCATAAAAAAAAAAAAAAAAAAAAAAAAAAAAAAAAAAATAGAAGACTTTAAAGAATAAATATTATTTTAACAATAATTTTAGTATGAAAGTATCAATGTTAATATAATATAATATAAGACTTACGAGCAACTTAAAGCCATAATCGCCGTATGGAATTAAAATTAAAAAAACAAAAAACAAAAAAGAACGAAATTATGTAGTTCAAAGATAGCTTTATTATGTAAAGAATTCGATTTCGCCTAAAGCATTAAAACTATTTTACAAAACTAGAAATTTGAACATCGATGTAAGGAATTACAGTTTCATTTGGGCAAGAAAATTTTTGAAATGAGACAAGTCTAACGAGAAATTTTAAAGTCAATAATATCCGACTAAACACAGTATATACAATAAAGTTTTTAATGTATGTATTTAAATTTATCCTCTCTTTATTCAATGTATGCGTTGTTAATTGTTTTATATTTCATATAAATCGCAAGAAATTTATATAACATTATAAATATATTAACATTATTAATATATTAATTATTACTTAAGTGGAATGTATTAAGTAAGCGATTTAATAAATTCCCATTATGAAGACATAAAGTTCTTAAAAGATTGCATCAATTCGAGAACTTTCATAAGTAAGAGGCACGACTTGAAAATGTATGCTTTTATTTAAAGAGGCGACTTTCTTCACTCTAAGCTTTGATCGAGTAATACCTTATAACTGTTTATATAAATACTTAATTAAATCCATTATTCAATTAAAAAATTATCCCACACCTCGCGACCATGAGATCTTACACAAATTAAAACTCGTATTTTTCAACATAAATTATCCAAGGCAGATACGTTAATGCTACATTCTTCTGACATCTGTGAGTGTTTAATAAATTTTTCTAATATTGTTACAAATATCGGAGAAAATAGTTAAAGCTTGTACTTGTTTGAATCGAAAAGTCATTGAGACAATAGATAATAAGGTGAAAGGAATATAAACCACCATACACACAACAATTACATCTTACTATTATAACTATATTGCAAGACCTTAAATGACAATTATTTTCATTGCCAATGCCTAGAACTCGACAGTTATATTTATTGGTTATATTTCCCTTTGAAAATTCGAGTACGGTTTACGCGCTAGTCAACACATTTCCTCGCAATATAAAAAAAAAAAAAAAAAAAAACTTCGGAAAGCCAAGCGCCAACATTTCCAAACTGCTCCTTTAACACCAAAAAGCTATGTCTCCTTCTCATTTTCATGAGCCATTGCGCGCGAATGGCCCTCGTATTTAAGCCACATTACGAGCATAGAGACGGAGTACTACAAGAGTGTCCCTTTAAACGACGCGTCGGGGCGCTTCTCCACGCCCGAGTACGAGAGAGAGAGAGAGAGAGAGAAAGAGAGAGAGAGGAGAGGGAACGGCGCCGCAGCCGCAGCCGCAGTCGAAGCCGCCGCAGCCGTCGCCGGCTTCCCGCCGGTATTTTCCTTCATCGTCCGACCAGTCGACGCTAGACCGCGGGACGAGGAGGTCGTTGAGTCCCTTCCAACCCCGCCGCCCATCCCTTAATATTTAAATGACACGCGCTAATGCCATTCGTTTTATATTGAAGAGCATGCACGGGATAAAGGCAAATAATCGCGAGCGCGAATTTCGCTCTTGCGATTAATTATGAAAGAGGGAAGAAACAGAGAGAGAGAGAGGGAGAGATAGGGAAAGATATATATATATATATATATATATATATATATATATATATAGAGTGAGAGAG